TGATCTTTGTTTATGCTTCATATAGGATGCTGTGATGATAGATTGAGGTAGTGACCCCCCTTTAAAGATAGGAAGGACACTGGGGTGTCTTAGGAGATTGCTGGTAGCCCTTGGAGTAAGTTAATGGAAGAACTTTAGGATGAAAGAAGAGGCTTTCTAGTTTTCATTATTTGGGAAGAAGCTGAAAGGGAGGTTCTATAGGGGAGAGGTGGACGGCAGGCTTTGGAATCAAACAGACTTACTTGTGCACAAGAGTCATGATGCTGTGTTATGCTTTATTTAGTTATTTGTTTATTATTTGTTATGTATGTGGTATGTATGTGTGTGTGTGTGCGCTTGCCCATGTGTGCATGTGTAGAGACCAGAGGTGGAGGATGGGTGACTTCTCCTATCACCCTACACCTTAATTTTTGAGACAGGATCTCCTACTCAACTTGGAGCTCATGGATTGATGAGACAGATTTACCCACAAGCCCCTGAGATCCTCCTGTCTTTGACTCCCTAATGCTGAGATTCTAGGCACATACTGCCCAACCTGGCTTTTTCCAGGGAGGCTGGGGTTCCAACTCAGGTCCTCATGCTCATGTAGTATTTTTCCCACTGAGCCATCATCACCCTAGCCCACTGCATTGTGTTTTTGTGATGATGAACTGAATTAGAAATTTCAAGCTCCCTGCACATGCCAAGAAATAAGGCAACTCACCTCTTTGGGGCTCTTGAATAGTTCCAATTTATTTCTAAGAATTACTGAATTTAAAGAGATTGCATTAGGATCTTCTACTCAAACAATAAATATGTAGTTCAGATCCCAAGTTTTCTATAAGTGATGCAGTCTCTAGTGCAAAAGAAATTGAAATCCAGTTGGTGCCTCTCTGTGAAAGTTTCCTGAGCACCCATGTTGGTCATTTTACGGAATAGAGACTGTGGCTCCCATGAACACACCTCCCTGTAACACAGCAGCAGCAATATTATTTCTTTCCTGCTCTCTTTCCATGATTACCTTTCTTTGTTTACAGAAGGGCCTTTTCAAAAACCTCTGCTGCTCCACTCTCTGGGAAGATGGGAGGCTAGTTCCCAATGGGAGAAATGTAGCCTTCTGGATGCTTTAAGTTCTCAGCATCAGGAAGATCTAGCTGGATCTGGAGGGACAGAGCAGAAAGGCACAAAAATTTAGATTCAAAATGAAAGTTGCAAATGAGCTGCTAAACATATACTTCTATTGCCCCTGCCTTCAAAGATCGTTAGTACTACATATAGTTCATCACCATTAGAATCTATAAACTAGTCAAGTGGTATGGCATATGAATCTCAGCACCTAAAAGGCTGAGCAGGAGGATCCCTAGTTCAAGTCCAGCCTAAGCTACACAGCAAGACCTTGTCTCAAAAACCAAAATCAAACTATGCCAAGACCTAGAGCCTAGCATATTCTGATAGTCAGCAATCCTTTACTATGAAGGTTTAGATTGTAAATATCTTTTAGGCCTTGTAGGTGTTAAAGTCTCTGTACCGACTAGTCAACTCTGCTGCAGACAATACAGAAATGGACATCTGTGGCTGTGTTCCAATAAAACTTTATTTATAAAAAAACATTTGGCCAAATATATTTGGCCCATGGGCCACAGTTTATTAACCCCTGGGTAAAATGCTTATACTGGTCAAAATCTATAGATTTAAAGGGACCTTAGATGTCATCTCATTTCATTTCTTCCTTCTTGGGATGAGGTAGCAGTCTTTATTTGAGAGAAAAAAATGACTTTCCCAAGAGACATACCATGGAGCCCTAGGAAATCCTGGGTTTGGAGTCAGAGGACCAGTTGCTTTTTGGGAATGCCAAGTGTGACTTTGGGCAAGTTACTCCATTTCTTTTGGTTTTTATATTATGAGCCATATGTAAATGTTGGTTACAATGGAACTTATGCCTCACAGGGCTGTTGGAAGATTTAAATGAAGTAACACAGAAGAACACCCTGAATGGGGCCAGCACGAGCAGGACCCAAAGCAAGTGCTTGCTCAATCATAGCACATGGATGGCTCAGTGGCTCCCTCCCTCCCTCCCTCCTTCCCTCCCTCCTTCCTTCCTCCTCCCTCCCTCCCTCCCTCCCTCCCTCCCTCTTTCCTTTCTAAATGCACAGCTCACAGCTAAGTTCATTAGCAAACACTCTTAAGTATTCACTATGTGTGAAGTCCTTTGATGGAATCCACCAAAGCCCAACTCCCACCATCCTGGCTGGCAGCTTCCTTTCTAGAAATCCCTTCCCTCTCTAAACCCTTACTCCCCAAACTTGTTGCTATTAGCCACTTAGCCAGGGAAATTCCTAAGGGCAGATATTCTTTTCCTTTTCATTCAACAACCCACATCCTTCTGCTGGGTCATTTTTAGAAATAGGGTG